TGCTATATTCTTTCTTAATGATGGAATATGGATGAGAAAACTGAGTCCCAATACCCAATAAACCGAAGTATCACCATAACGATATAACTCTCACACAGTGTTAGCAAAAAACTTATTGAAAGTTTCAACATTAATGTAGTCTCGAATATCGATTTTTTAACTACCTGTTATGTGATCTTGTAAACTGTAATCTTTATTGTCCAGCACATGTCATGGTTACAGAGTTGCGACCAGAAGCAATGCAACCGGTGGAGACAGGAATGCTCCTGGTCTGCTTTATTTTCTGAGTTGCTTTAGTTTTCAGCCTTGGTATTCATTGAATACTGATAAATACGCTCTGCTTGACAAATTAAAAGCAATTAAATCAATTCCGTACCTGGAGCAAGAAAACCAGAACTCACAGGCAGGGAGCAGAAATTGGAAGCTGCACAAGTTGCCATGTGGCAAAGAATTGTTTCAGGGAACGCATAGTCATATGTGTGCTCGGGAAATTTCCAAATTGCCACATGCAGTAAACTCCACTGTAGCAGGGGTTCTACAAAAAAATGCTTATGTAAAAGCAAGCCAAGTGGGCAGGGTTGGGGACTGTCTGGGCCATGGACATGCAAGGCCATTAGGCGGTCCAGTAGGTAGGTTTGGAGTCTGAATCCATGTGGGTGCCAAGTGAAGAAGTACACTTAAAAGAAATCCCATACTAGCTCAGAATTATGAAATAGACAGTTATTTATTTAGGTGTAGACTCACAAATCAGAATCCTCTGCTTGAACGGAGATCAGAAACCGAATCCCACAGCCAGAAAAGAGGCCAGATGATGTTCTACATTGGCATATATAATATAGGAGGCCATGCCCCAGCTAGTGGGTAACCACTGGCTGTAATACTTCCTACAGCAGCAACCCACACCAAGAAAGATAAACATGGTATATATACACCTCTAAGTGAATATTAACTATACAGTATGTGGGGCAATATTATACAGGCCACATATTTCTGCACTGTATCAGCAGCCAGGCTTTCAAGCCTCAATAGCAACTGAGGTTCTAAAAGCACTTTTAGGCTGGCTGTCTCCTGGTCTCAAGAGATGTTGATGTTGTGCTGCTCCTTCTTTGTAATTATGGAGATGGCGGGGAAGAAGTGTTCATTCCAAGGTAGTAACATAGTTGCAGATGTGACTTTAGTCCTGCTACCCCAGAAGCAGAAGGCTAATTAACTTCCCCCTCAGTTTACCTTGAGAGAAAAAACATGTTTTGAGAATAAGCATGGGTGATCTTCAGGATTTGAATGAACCCCGAGACTCCCTTCCAACATTGCAGTGTCATCTATGTCTCAATTATTCCCGTGCCTCCATGCTGGTCCATAGAGATGGTTTTTGTTGGGGTTTAGACCCTGATAACAGTAAGGAATAATTTTGCTAAGGTATGTCATTTTAAGACACATCAGTAAGAAAGTATGTTTCCAAATTGCATAAAATTAACCTAGCATCAGGTGGAAAAATTAACACCACACAGGAAATAATTTTGCACAAAAACATATATTCATGGGAATATTATATTTGTTAAAAATGATTACATTTGTAAAATAGAATTATATAAAAGTATGTTTTTGAAACAAAAAGGTGGAAGATGTACATACTTTGTGATCTCCAAATAGAGTAGAACATGTGAAGCATTTAAGCAATTGGTTGCTGGAATTTAATGCCAGTAGATAATTAATATAGAAAAAAACTATCAACATGTCCTTCAAAACTTAAAAGAAAACAATAACAGAAAGAAGTGATCAACAATCAAAACAACAACAACAAGGTAACCATACTATCTGTGGCATCTTCAGGAGGGTATGTAGTAATCGGAACATTATTGCATGAGCATGGCTGGTGTCTGTCACTTTTTCAGCCTCATAGATTGGTTTTCAGTCATTCAGTTCAGGGCACTAAGGATGGGACCACTACACTTCTGATGTTCTGAATGCCCTCAAGACTTATGACTGTTTTCCAGCTTCTCCTAGCTACTACTCTTCAGCTCTGAGGCCTCAGGCTTGAGGGGAGAAATATTATATTGATTAGAAGGAGTGTACCCAATACTTCTGTCCACTTCAGGTATGTTTGATGAGTCTTTGGGTAGAGTGGGAATGTTAGACACCTGCTTGATCAGAAGGTGAAACCAGAGGCCCTTTGGATAAGGATGATAGTATAGACACCTTACATAAAGGAAAAGGAAGACCTGAAGTTCTCTTGGCAAGATATGAGGTTTGAATACTCCATTAAAGGGAAAGAGTATGTGTGAGACACCTTGGTAAACAGGAACTGTAACATGAGAGCCTGCATATTGGAGTTTCTGTCCTGCCTGGTTCTGTCCTCCCACCAGGTCCCACAGCCATCTTATCCCAAAGAAATTACACAGAAATCTATATTAATGATAAACTGATTGACCCATTAGGTCAGCTTCATATTAAGTCTTATAATTTACATCAGCACATTATTCTTATCTATGTTAGCCACATGGCTTGGTAACTTTTTCAGTGAGGCAGTTTACATCTTCCTTCTTTGGTGTCTGGACAGGACTGGGGAGGAATGGGCTTCCTCCTTCCAAGAATTCTCCTGTTCTCATTGCCCCACCTTTACTTCCTATCTGGTTGTCCCACCTATACTTCATGCCTGGCTACTGGACAATCAGTGTTTATTTAATACATAATTGACAGAATACAGAATTGTCTCACACGACTTCCCCATCTTTTTTTTTTTAAACAAAGGAAAATATCTATAGTTCATTTTTTTTGGGAATATGGGCATAGTATTCCAGGCTACGTCATGCTGATTGGGGGTGCTGATATCTAATGGGGACCTAAAGAAATTTTGAATTATGATCAAGTCCTGACTGGAGTATCCTGTGAGTCTTGATCATCTCAGGCAGCAGTCTTGAATCTGTTCTGGATGTGGAACTCTGACTTCTGGGCCATCTGTTCCTACCAGAGATTTCTCAGGTGGTCTTCCTTGATCAAACCTGGTTTTTCTTAACTCAGAATGAATCCGCAGCCTCTCATTTCTTCTGAAAACAAAAGCAAAATCTCTTCTCCAAAGTAACATACCTTTGACTTCAATTTTGAAATCAAGGTATTTTCAAAATACCTATCTTGATTGATTTAGCAGCATTTATAAACAAATACCTTTTAGCATTTGTTGCTCCTTCCTCATCATTCAAACAATTCAAAAAGAGCATGCTAACATATAGTATCCAGATTTTCTGTGTGTTTTACATTTTTATGTGGCTTTACTTTAACCTCTATTTCTTTTATTTTTACTTTTACTTTTTGGGACAGGTTTTCTGTATATCTTTGGCTATCCTGGAACTCCCTCTGTAGACCAGGCTGTCTTTGAACTCACAGAGATCCACCTGCCTCTGCCTCCTATGTTCTAGGATTAAAGGTGTGTACAACCACACCTTGAATCACAAGAGGTCAATCTGCCTCTGCCTCCCAAACTTTGGGATTAAAGGTGTGTGCTACCATACCTTGAACTGCAGAGGTCTTTCTGCCTCTGCCTCCCAAGCTTTGAAATTAAAGGCATGTGCCACCACACCTTGAACTCACAGAGGTCTGCCTGACTCTGTCTACCAAGTGTTGGGATTAAAGGTGTGTACCACCACACCCAACTACTCTGGTTCTTTTTTTATTTTAAGGACTTTAACCTTTATTCTGCATATATTTTCAACACATTGTAAACCATTTAGAGGTTTTCTTCATCTTTGACTCTCTCTTTACTGTATATCTCTTTTTTTCTGACCACATGAGGCTTTAATTTGCTAAACAATATGGAGAGGACTAAAGACATGGCTTTGACAGCTGGATCCAGTCCATTCCTTGGCTTTGTGAAATTTCAGGATAATGGCAGAGGTAATGGCTGGAGATACATTTATTGCCACAACTCTATAGTGTTTCAAGGTCCTTGCAAGCAAGCTGCAATAGTGTGTCCACAAACAGCACTCAAATGCTCTCTCTGTAGCCAGACCTCCTGCCTCAAAGTGTCAGAGTTTGCACTGGCAGGATGGCCCAGAAAGCAGGCATTTTAAAATGATGCAGCTTTTTCCTGTTATCTTTGAAAGCCAAAAAGCACACGGTCAGCTTTTATCAACACCATTTAAGTGTCTTATGGCTGGACCTCTTAAAGAACAGCAGGGTTTTGCAGCTAAAGCTGAGTCAGGAAGCCTCTCTTAAATGAGAGCACTTGCCTCTAGCAAGCAGAGCAGATCTGAGAAATTGCTGCTACCAAGAAGATATGCTTTATTCTATTCTTTTCTGTATTGAATTTCTTTCCAATATCTCTCAGGTTTTATGTGGATGAAGTTTTCTATGTGGGAGCCAAGGCCTCATATTCAGACTTTCAATGCCTCCGAACATAAATTAGAAATGTACAAATAGAATCAATGGGCCAAAGATGAGAGGTCAGAGGCTTGCCAAGGAGCATGTGGAAGAAAGTGGAAGCAAGAGCCCCAGAGAAAATACAAGCCCCCCCCCCCCCACGGGTCAGAGGGATTTCTTATGAGAAGAATGAAAACCTGAGGGCTATTGTAGAGATAGACTAGCATGTTGGACTGAATAAAGCTGGAAATCAATATCCTCACTGTTTGACATGAGATCAAGGTCCCAGCCCACCTCAGTCAGTAGAACACATTCCAGGAACTGCCTGCTCTTCATTGGAGACTTGAACATCTGTCCATTGCAGTGAATGTGTGGTAGATGAAACAGCAGTTCGAGTGTTCATCCAAAAGTCTGCATGAGAGTTCTAAGCTCACTCTCCTTCTTGAGATAATGCTCAGGTGCTCAGATCTAGGTTTTATTGATGAAACATTATATTGGTTTTTGCCTTAAGTTAGTAGACATCAGTTCTAGACTCTACTTGGGTACTGATACTTTAAGGCTGGGTGTCCTGGAGAACTCATCTGTGAGGTATAAAAATTATTCTTTGATCTCATATTTGGGTGGGTGCAGGGAGCCAGTATGTGTGGCCGCCATTACAAGATGGCGCCTAGCTCCTGCGGGCTGGAGTAGCCAGTACCACCATCTCAGGCATGCTCAGTGTCCTCAGTGTGCTGGACCTATCAGGGAGTTTGGAGCAGTTTGCTAAGACACTTTGACCAATAGGAAGCCTGCACGTACCCCTAGTTCCAATATTAAGCAGTTGCAGCAGTTGCAGCTCAGAACTCGGGGCCCCTCACTTCCTGCTCTCCCTTCAACCAAGAGGCTCGAGTAAAAGCGTGATTTGGGAAGAATCCTTGTCTGGTGGCTGTTCTTTCCTGCTGGTCAGGGAGTTCGCCACAGGTGGGGGACCCTGAGTCAGAAGAGGACAATGTGAAGCCCTCCTTGGGCAGAAGGGCATGAAGACAACTTGGATAGTGTGAGAAGATCTGAGGCCCACTGGTGAATCAGAGTCAGTAGACTGCACGTCCTTTGGTCTCAGTGGAATACTCCAAAACACAATTACATGGACCTAGTAAGTTCACTCCCACAGGGGCATATTCAGAAGATCTGAGAACCCTTTCTATATTGGTGGATAGTACGTCTCTATTAGAGCAGGCAGGGATGAGAACACTTTAGTCAGAAGACAGAGTAGATGTATCCTTGGAAGACAAGGTAATCTAAAAGTTACTTTAGCAAGAGAGAGAGAATACTCTCAGACTTCTTTGGGTAGTTGGGGTATATCCAAGTTCTGAGTGGGTGGAAAAAGAATTCCTGCTATCACTTTGGGATCAGGTGAAAGATCCAAGACCCTCTAACTTAGAAGGAGGAGACAGGAGCTCCGAGGACTGGATAGAATAATCTCAGCCTCTCTTGGTGCTATATCTGTGGCCCTATTGTGCAGAATCTGAAGGTTGAATGACACCCTGAGAATTATAGAAAATCCCAGGCACTCACCAACACCAAACTTGAAATCACAATCTAGAACACACATCTTCTGAATGTCCATGTTAGGCATGTCACCAGTCTTAGAAGTCTTCTAAAAGGCTGCACAACAGTAGTCTCTGGCTCAGTGTCTTTGTCCACTCACATATTTGTCTTCATGTAGGACAGGTGTTCTCTGTCTAAGGGACCAGAATGAAGACAGTAGTTAGAGTTCACCTTATCTTTCTACTCTTGTGTTCAGAAACCTCAGTCCACAGTGCTCTGAGATCTCTTTGGTCAGAACAGTACTCTCCAGGCCACCCAAATAAGAAGTTGTAGGAGAAAAATCATTGAAAGAAGGTAAACATGTGGAATTTCCTTGATCACACAAAGCATATCTTAGGCACTCTTTATTGAAGTGGATATTTAATTCTCCCTATGTGAGATATGAGAAAGGTCATGGCATGTTGAACAGAAATAGAAAGACTCTTATGCCCTTCATCAAAGAAGTAATATAGCAGACTCCATAAGAATAAGAAAAAAATCTGATGCACCTTGGTCATAACTGTTATTTCAGAGATATTTTGTGCACAGGTGAAGGTCTACAGCTATTTTTTCAGAGGTGGAAAATCTATTCCTATGTTTAGTGAGATAGGAATGGCAATTTTTCATTGAGCTTATGTAAGTACCTTGTGGAGCAGAGGAAGAACTGTTTCTGTCTGATGAGCTTCCAATTTTTTTCACTATTTAGAATATCCATACCTTGTGGGGAATTGTGGAAGGCTAGGCAGTAATTATTGCATATTTTCAAGGTGGTTGGAAGGTTATTCTCTGTTTAAGAAGTCATTGGTCAGATAAGATAAGCCCAAGGCTCCTTTGTTCAGAGGAGTAATAGATTATGCATAGCAGGAAGAGATTTGGTAGTAATCCTGGACAGTAGGGAATATAGCAGGCATAGTCAATAAAACAAGATCTTTGGGCCCCTTGCAAGAACTGGTAGGCCAGAGTCCTCCTTGGTCAAAAGAATTTGAGGCCAACTTGTGCTTTGGCAGAAAGTTTCATTTTCCCCTGGGTAGATGGTAAGGACTAAGTCATTTTTAATAGAAGTGGAGTATCTGAGTGATTGACAGAACAAGAGGCATGACCCCCCTCTATGAAACAAAGACATTTTCACACCTCTTGGCCTCATGGTGGGAATTTGAGGGCCATGGAACAAAAGGAGTGGTTCTGATGTCACTTTCAGATGATGTAGTAGAGGTGAGAATTTTTAAGTAGAAGTGAAGGGTCTGAGCCCTCCATCAAAAAGGGAATGATTGGATCCTTTGTAAGAGACAGTATGTTTTGAAAGCCTTTTTGACTGGAATTGGAAAGTCATGTGGCCTTGGACAGGAAAATATGCTGTTTAGGCCCCTTGATCATGCAGGTTAGATATCAGGCCCTCTTGGTTACAGAGTGGGCATTTTTGGTCCAATGGAGAGAAATTGGTTGTATTTAGGAGTGTAAGACTTAAGCAGACTTAGAGAGATTAGCAACGTCACAAATGACTTAGAAAAAAGGATGTCTTTGTTTTCAATTTGTCTTTATAATCCATGTATGGGCAGCAATGATGGAGCCAGCTGATTTCTAGTGATTGGATTGAAGAAAATAGCTTAGGAACTGGGCCCTCAACCTAGAGTGGAACAACACATTTCCCAAGCCACCAATGTCAAATGTGTTTAGAATAGTGTATTTTGGAGGTACTTCGAAGACAAAAGGGGATGCTTGAAGATTTGTGATAGAATCCTAAAAGGCAGGATGCAGTATCATCCAAATGAGCATCTCTAATGTCATCTTCAGAATAAAAGAATACCTGAGTTTCCTAGAGTGAAATACAATGCTTCCTATTCTGCCTTGTACAGGTGGGAAATGTATAAGTACACATTTTAATGGAGGGAAGAATAGAGACCTAGTCTGACCCAGGGTAGTTCTCATGACAACTTCAATAAGCAAGGACTATATGAGGTCTCTTGGTAACTGGCGTTCCGAGAATTTCTTCTCAAAATGGGAAGTTTTGAGATGACCTTCAGCAAATGGGAAATCCCAAACATCTTTGTTCACAGGAAGGAGGGTTCCAGTCATATTTTGTAGGATAGTACTATGCACTTCACTCATGATCAGAACAGGAAGGTCCCAAGACCTCTTGGATAATGGGAAAAGGTTCTGGCTCTGCACTAGCATCCAGGTATTTTTCCCAATGCAAACATGCATACCTTGTGTAAAATCTTTGAGAGTCTAAGGCAAATCTTATAACAATCTTCCAACAGGCTAAGCATTGATGTTTCCTCAAGGTTGTGTTCAGTTGTACATATCTGTGAATAAAAACAGAACTAATGCATTTTGATAACCAAATTTGGACAGATGGCTTGAGAGCCAATTTCCTCTTTCTACCCTCTGACCTGTGATCTAAAAGCAGAAACTCGTGAGATCCCATTGATCACATATGTGTTTATATGGTTATATTAGTTTGAGAGGTCAGCTCTAAAGCAATCTCATCTAATAGGGGAATGTGTGAGGTCACCAATTAAAGAAGGGAAGCTGGATGGTTCTTTAGTCTTATGGTGGACTAAATAGGTGAAGAGCAGAGGGTGGAGGTCTGAGACATCCCCTGTATATAGAGGCCAGTTTTGAGTGTCAATAGAGTTTGATTTTCCAGATATTTCTTTGTAAAAACTGAACTTCTCAAATACTCTTCCTGGATGAAGGTAGATAATTGACTCACAAACCTTCCAGGAAGATCATGAATGTCTGATACTTGTTGTGCAGGGTGGTATAATGCACTCTTAGTCTGACACCGGTACAATGAGAATTAAAAAAGGCTGAGAGTCATTTGGTAGAAATGGGAATACATAAAGACCATGTAACACCAAACAACTGTGTTAAGGTAGGTACCATTGGAAAATGGGGTTTAGGGCAATATTAGTCCTAGGAGAGTTTTGACATCCTGTTCGGTGTACTGAGAAGGAGTAAGTGATTAATAATAATAGTAATAATAATAATAATTGATAATAATATTATTAAATAGTTATTATTTAATATATATTAAATAGTATATAGGGAAAGTGGAAATTCTGAGCCCAATTAAAGAAAGCAAACCTCTGAGGCCCCATTGAGGACACAATCTCCTTTGGGCAGAGTATGAGAGTGTCATCCACACTTCTGTTGAAGGTGAATATCCTTGGTACCTCATACAGTGGAAAAAGTTCCCAGCACTTATCATGAGGTTCACCTCTTATTCATACTTTGTGTTCCTTCTGGGAGAGACAAGGCAGCAACAATTTAGGTCTTCTTCCGAAGCACTGAATGACTGTCCCTGGCTAGGTTGCTTCCTTTGTGTTCTGCAGTTGTTATCTAGGCAGAGATGTTGAAGTCATTCCATTTATATTGACTATCTGAAGGCAGATGGCATGGGGTTCTATATCCTGATTGCTAAACTTGGCCTATGGGACCTCAAACCAGAGTGGAATAGTGTCCCTTGTTTATAGAGAGAGCCTCCCTGGGACCTAAACCTGAACAGCCCTGGGTAAGACCTATTTGGCTGTTAATGGAAGGTTTCAGACCCCATTCTTGAAAGGGAGAAGTTTTTTGGAAGGTAGGAAAGAGCTCAAATTTTCAGAAACCCTCAGGTAGAAGATGAAGCTGCCAGGTTACCTTGGGAACTGGAAGAAGGATCAGCCAATACCTTATCATGTCTAAACATCCTCACACTATCATATACCTATGTGCTTTGGGGCTCTGACACTTGATAGCCAAAAATCAGGGTGATTTTCTTTTTTATTAATTTTTATTGAGCTCCATATTTTTCTCTGTTCCCATCCCTTCCTCCCCTTTGCCCTTCAACTCTTTCCCAATGTCTCCATGCTCCCAATTTACTCAAAAGATCCACATGGGAAGCAGAGTGTTTGTCTTAAAGTTTGGTTGATAATCCATAGCTCTGTGTCCTCCACAAGCCTTTCATCAGTAGCACAGATATATGAGACAAGATAGGACCACTCCATTTCTGGTGAGAATCTTAAAAGCAAAAGATGTTTAATCAGGGATCAGATTTTTAGTGTTTTGTCCCATGATATCAGTTCAGAGGAATCTGGCATCCCTTTGGTCATTGGGGCATGCCTGGACACCCAGGTTAAAAGGGAAACATTAGCATCTTCTCAGTGAGAGAAATAAGCTGAGGTTTCTGCAGATATAATTGGTTTTTCTGAGGAAGCCAAGGTCAGGGAGTACTTATTTGGAGTTTACATGACAAAAAGATGAACATCTGAATGAGTCTTTATGTCACTGGCCTGGTATGTATTCCCTTAATCAGATGACTTTCTATCAGTGCCCTAGAAGGGAAATGGTATGTCTAAAGTCCCCTCTTTCAAGGAAATCAGAATATAACCACCATCCATGACAGGGTATTTATGGTCAGAGGTTCCTTAATGGATCAATATTGGGCATACAGTTTACCTTGGACTAAAGTGCAAACCTGGGACCCATTTATTAAGAATAATGTCTTCTGAGCCAGGTCCTCTGCATTTCTGAGCACACCTGAGCCTAGGAACTCCAAGGCAGTGGACTGGAGCCAGAAACCTTTGCAGGACCAACTCCAAGTCATGGACTTCTACAGGAGGGGATCCAGGCCAGGATTTACAGAAACAGGTCAAAGCTGGAAACCTAGGTCAAAGTAGGCCTGAGACACCAAACTCCAAGGGAGCAGAGAAAAGAACATGAGCTCTGAGCTATCTCCAGGAACACAGAGTAAACAATGAGGTAACTAGAACTGTGGCACTGACTGTACCACATGTAACAGCCATCTGAGCTTTGGATTCACTGGCACCTGTAAGACTATTCAACACATTCTCAGACAACCTCAGCCATACCTATTAGAGGAAAAGATGAGTAGAATAGACAAGAATACATGCAACACCACAAAGAACAACCTAAAGACCTAAAGACTCTTCAACAACAAGATCTGAACAGCCAAATATAGATGAAGTAGGAGAAAATGACCTAAAAACAACTTCATGAGAATGTTTGAAACCCTTAAAGATAAAATGAGAAATTCCCTTAAAGAAATGGAAGAAAAGAGAAACAAAAAATTGGAAGATATCAGAAAATCCCTCAAAGAAAACCAAGAAAAAGAAATCAAACATATGAAAGA